TAATGGTCATCAAAATTTTATTTTATATTATGTTATGGGTGTATAATAAAATAATTATCAATAAATACAGCACACACAAAAATAAATCTTTTCGTTGCTTTTTGAATAGCTGGTATAACCTTTTAACCTGAGTCCTCACAGATAGTAAAAGAATAAAATGCATTTGCCTACATTAATGATTAGTTTGCTGCATTGTGCTAATTTCTTAACTTATATGGCCATTATTAATCAACAAATAATGTCATTAATTTGTGTTAGCTTGTGACTGTTTATCCATATCTTATTTCTGCAATCGATTAATAAATCTTAAAATAATAAATACCAAAGCTATTTAGCAAGATATACTCCTAGTACTAATTTTGTCGGCAGATTTTAGTAATACATCTTCAAATATTTCATAGAGTTAACTAGTATCGTGACTAAAACATTAGTAATTCTGTCTTGATAACATTATAGATAAAGATTATTATTAATATATAAAGGTAGTTAAAAATGTATGGAACTAGGATATTATATAATTGTTAAGATAAATAGTTATTTTCAATGAAATTTGCTAAGTTTCTTCATACAAATAATGAAATGGGCTATTTAATGGCCAGATTTATTAGATGCTTATATGAATTGCCAAAAATATTGCAAAATATTCCTTGGGACATCTTATTATGCTTTTGTAAATTCTTTTTATTTTTCGTATTGTGAGGCTTTCTTTAACGCTAAAGTTTGCGTTTATATTTTAGTTTAATAATAAGTTTAACTAATTTATATAATTAATTGAACTCCTTTAATAAGGTTCTGTCTTAACCTGTATAATCGCAACTACTTAGATGTAGACATTTAATCATTCATTTCAGCTAGATCTTATATGAATTTAAACATCGATATTTTAATACAGAATACATTAGGAATCCAATTACATTAGGATTTGATTTAGTTGCTGTCAAAAAATGGCTTTAGGAAACAATTAAACAATGGATTGTTCGTTTCTTTAAAATGAGACTTAGAGAAATTTATGTATTTGTAAATAAATTTGCCTTAGGCGAGTTGCAAAGTTGCTATTAATTTTTAAATCTTAACCCAGGTAACCTAGCTAGCTTAGGGTGATTTAATGATTTATCTAGAGCTTCGCTTGTAGTTATCTGGACAGAGTCAAAACACTGGTAACTTTCCCTAACCCCTCCCTCCAACATTGTTTTCCCATCCATATTTGCCTGCTATTTCGATTTATACCAACTTTCGTCAGAATGGGACTTAAAGCCGTGCCTTGCTCATCGGGGAGATAAATTAAAATATAATAAACGCCTAACAGAATCAGTGCAAATAACAAGAAAAATATGATTCTTAAGGCAAGCCAACCCCTCAAAAATTATATTTATTTTTGTAGTGTCGATGAGATAAACATGTCATTGCCAGTAAAATTGAATATACTATTAATTTTCAGCTTTTATAGGTCAAAATTATGAGCAATATTAGAATATAAATGAATAGGTGAAATTCACTGGCAGCGAGGAGTCTGCTCATAGAATTGTCAGAAAACTCTACCATCCATCGTTAAATTACTTTAAGTTACCTAAGGTGACCAAGATCTTGCTTTTTCGGAATCCTTCCTTTAATTTTAGGTAACCATATAAATAGTTAAATTCCAAATACAAATATCTTGTATGAATACATCTGGCTAAATTATAAAGACTATACTGAATCAGAGCGAAACAAGTTATTTTACACTTTTAGGTATTTAATCATATTTTGCTCAAAGATTATTCCCCCAATTACTAGTGCAAGGAGAAAAATAGAGTGATATTGCTCCATGACGGTAGATAATAGGGTATATGATACAGAAAATAAAATTACATCTAAGAATATCACATAGTATATGAATCCCACTTGGAATGACAACTAAAGTGAAATTAGATCTCATGTGTTATTTAAGTTTTTCCACAATAAGATTAGCAAGCCTAAAGTTATCATTGAACTCCAGGAGGTATTTAAGGCCAGGGGTGGCTGCAATTTCGACTTCATTAGGTTCCATCATCACTCCTATCGGACTCAAATCGTGTAAGCAAAGTGGTGATAGGTTACCACTTAACCACAAAGAGTGACTTCGCCCAGGTCTATTCAGCACCCCTAGCGAGGTTCGAGCTCTGCTTGTCCAGCATATAATCTTGCTGCAATATGATAACCTTTGGCCAAGTCTTCCCTGTGGCCATAATTGACAGAATTGCAAATATAATTCCTTTATTACCTTAAACAAAATAGGATGAAGACATTTCGTATATAGGATCTACTTTAAGTCTCAACATCTTCTTATAGACAAAACTGAGTTGAATTATAGTTCCGGATCCGCTTACTAATCGAATCCTACTAATAATGAATATAAATAAAGTAGTTAATAACTGTGAGCGCAAATCCAAGTTTGTTTACATTTATAACTGGTGTATGGAAGTGGCTTTGTCTGTTTTTTTATTCAGGCGTGCCCTCTGAAACTGTGGAACCACTGGCTATACATATTAATGTTAGGTTGTCACCCCTATAGATGAACCACACTATTTAGATTACAGTTTTGGGTTCTGACGAGACCCATGAGAGATCGAATATGCAAGATGATAATACTTTCTGTAGGGAGGACTAAGGTAAATTCACTAGCATCATGAAGCTTATGTTTATAATTTAGAGTAGCATTTAAATAATTGTTTCTCCTTGACTTTTTAAAACTAGTTTTCCTACTTAAGCTATACCGACACTATCGCGGCCTACTAATAATGAATATGTAAAAGGTAAACGCAGAAAATAGAGCTTAAGACTGAGTTTCCTAGTGCAGCAGCGATTCTTCACTTCAAAAATTCTCGTTTTTACGACAGTAAATTAAAAGAAGTCTGGTACTCTAAGTTGAACCATGATAATTTTCTGGTAGATAATTACAGGATATGCAAAACAAATTGATAGCTCTTTCTAAATAAGGTCTCCTTTTGTTATAACCACTTTTATTTACACTATTTGAACAGTACTATTAATAGGTTCAAAAGAAATCTGCATTCATGGCGGATGAAACAAAGTTTTTAAGCACGATAGACATCCGTGAATGATGGATTTATTTAATACAAGAAATACAAAATGCTAGCAACAATCACACATGGCTGATTACAATTTATAACCAGAGACAATATAATAATATGTGATAGCTCACCTAAGAAATTTAAATGAACTTTGTCCATTTCTTGACATTCTATTTCTATTTAGAGGTAATTTAATTACCTAGGGGTTAAGATTGCGATGGATCATTATTTTCATTGTTATTACAATAGTTTAAGATAATTAATTAAACCTAATTTTAAAATCTTTGACTGATACCACTAGGACTACTAAATATTGCAGAACCGCACCTGCTATTCAAAAGAAGATTACTTATTTGATTAGTGAGATTAAACAAAAGAAAAAGTATATAAGACTTACCAAGTAGGATCTTCTTTGCACTCCATTGTACCTTCCCGAACTGGTTGAGCACAGTACATCGCATGTCTACTGTGTTACCCCGGGGCACAGCATAATGTTCCTCAGGCAACTCAGAGAAACATTGTATTCGCTGCTCTATTTCATCAGAAGTACACCGCTCAGACTGTACAATTCGTGCTGCATCATCTGACGAGAATAGAGAGATCAGAAGTGACCGGTTAAAGTGTGGATCGGAGAAAAGAGGATGTGAACTATCGTATAAAACTGGTTCATCTGATTGCATCATGGTATAATCTTGGTAGAATAAGGAGTGTTTGGGGGAAGTGTGAGGTCGGATAAAGCCTAACTTCAAGTTGGCATTATTAGTTGAAGATGTGAAGTCCAGTTGAAATAAGGGAGCTGTGTTTGTGTTATAGTAAGAATTATTCAATAACATTTTGCTACCACTTTCACTTATAAACTGAGACGATTCTTTCCCTTTCAATGTTTTTTTATTATACTCTAACTTATTGGAATCTGAGATTTTGTCGCCATCCAAGCCTTTTCTGGCATCACTATATTTTTTTATTATCATCCTATTGCTAATTACTTGGTTATGG